ATAACGCACTCCAGATGAGAGACCATAGTATACCCTCAAGTCAATGCCACAGGAAATCACACACTGACTGGGTTTGAAGGGCTATTGGGCCTGGAGAATTCAGAATCACACCCCCTCCTTCAACAATTCATCACATGCCCATTATTTAATTCTTTTTTATTTCTTTTATTTTCATTGATTTGTTTAATTATTTTTCACTAAAAATTTTAATTATTTTTTAATTCATCATAAAATCAACAAATAAAAAAAAAGAGCATTTTTTTTATATAAAATATTTATTTTAATGTAATTAGTAAGTTAGGTTAATTTAATATCTTTTTCATAATTAGAAATAATTAGAAACTAGGTTCATTTAAATTTATAATTAAATTGTTTTTTTCTCTCAAATAAAAACCACCAAAAATACAAAAAAAGTCTTTTTTTTATAAATATTTTATTGAATTAGTTAATCTAGTTTAAATTAGGTTAATTTCAATTTCTTTTCATAATTAAAAAAAAATGATTAGAATTAGGGTTTTAACTGTACATAACCTAATTAAGTTTTTTTCTCGTAAATAACTTAAATATTTTTCTCAATTAGATTTTTAGGGTTTTTAATTTTTCTCGCATTTAATTTGCCGCGCGCATTATAATTTGTTTTATTGTAATTGCTCCGGGATTGTAATAGTAATTAGGGTTTTAAGCTTCCACATTTTATTTTCAGTCAAGCTAATTATGTAACTGTCAAAGCCTTGTAATAGCTAGGTTTATTTTTTGCACTTTAAATTCCTGCAAATATCTAACTGTCTAGATGTATGTTATAGGATTGTATGGGAAGATTGCTTGAAATTTAAATGGTAGATCACCTAATGTGCAAAGACAAATTAACTGAAACAATTCACATGCACATATTCACCCCTAGGGTTTACCTCACTTCGGTTTCCTTCGGTAAAACACTTATTAAGCATAGGAGATTTTAGTGGATGCCCTCCAGTCTAAAAGATCAAAAAGTCTCATTCAAATGTTGCCTCAAAAATGTTGCCTCGGAAAGATCTTAAGACTCTAGGGTTACTACCAAAGTTTTCTAACTATTGCTTTAGTGATTGTACTTGTCCCTTTCGAACCTCCCTTACAAACTCCAACGATGAGGCTACCTACTCCTTAATAGTAGGATAGCGTTGTCTAAAGGAAATGAGAACAAACAATCTATTTTCGAGTAGGTAGAATATTAAGTACTTGCTCAACAAAACTTTTCACACAAACACCTTTCAAAAACAAATTTTCAAAACAAACTTCGTCACACCCTTGAGGACTGATACAAGGGTTATCACGAAGTAAAACTTTTCAAGACAAGCACACACAAGCAATTTTGAAAATATGAGAAAGTACCTAAGAGCCCATGGAAAACCAGGGATAGAAAGGGTGCTAACACCTTCCCTTTCTATAATCTACCCCCCATACTCAGAAATCTCAAAAAAAGGTTTTTTCTGTTCTTTTTCCTTTTCGATGATTGGATAAAATAAAAGTCGGTGGCGACTCTTGCCTACCGCGACATTTTGCAAATAAAAAACGCAAAACACAAACCAGTAAAAACAGTTGGTTCTGCCACCGTATCACAACCCTTTTCATTCGTAGTTATCTATGGGGTCTTAATTGCTAGCTCACTTTTTGAAATGCTTTATGTTTGTGTATGTTTAAAAACATTTTGAAAACACCTAAGTGCAATAAATTTGTAATGATTCTCGTATCATTGAGAATGTATACAAAATGTTTGTTTTGAAAATATTTAATGAAGGGGAATGTTTGGAAATATGTTTTGAAAATGGCAATGTAAGTCAATTTTGTAATGATTCTCGTATCGTTGAGAATGTATACAAAATGTTTGTTTTGAAGAGTGTTTTGAAAATGGTTTGTTTTGAAAGTGTGAAGTGTGGAGATGTTTTAGTTTGTGAGCAAGCAATTACGAGCAATCTACCTTCTCAAAAAGTCTTTGTTCTTTCCCTTCTCTTTTAGATAATGCTTGTCTACCATTAATTAGTAGGATGCCCTATCATTGGATGTGAGGGACATGTGTGGGTCATCGTACAGTGATATAAGGCAATTTGTAGGACACTTTAGCAATTGTCTTAAGAGACTAAGATCATTTACCGAAGGTAACATCGTAGGGTCATCGAGGGACTACGATCTTTTAATCAAGGGTCTTTGCTAAAGCATCTCACGTTTGAGGGACATGGCTGTTTATATCCGAGGCGAAAAGTGAGGTTAACCCTAGAGGTGCAAGTGTGTGAATTGTGTTTGATTCAAGTATTTTATCTTGAATTAGGGTTTTGCTATGTTTGCTTTTAGTCTTGTCATACAAACTCTAATAACTAACAATAATAAGGAAAGCGGTAAATTGTGGAATTTAAATGTCCTACACTATTGCAATGCTTTGGGAATGGGGGAGTACAATTTTGTGAATGGGGAGGAAAGTAATAAACCCTAATCATCTATTACAGACCATGTACATAAATAATAATGCGAAATAATAAAATTCACAAAAATGTGAAGATGAAGAAAAGAGAAAAGAAGTTATTTTGTGGTTTTGGTAGAGAAAAAGGTTAAATATTTTAACCTAATTGACTGAGTTTGTTGTAATTCCCCAAATTTTTCCTACCCTTTTACTTTTATCTAGCTTATTCATCTCTCACTTTTCACATGTACATAGCCCTCATTAGTCATCTAACACATCATGCAACATTTATCATAACTTGTCATGGGATCAAGGCTTTTGAAGAGTTAGGGTTTCTACATGGTTTGAGGCTTCTGATCAACTCTCTACAAGCTTGGTCTAACTGGTTTTCTATTTGAATATGGATAGAGCTTAACTCCATAATCATCATGGACTTCTTTCTCTCAATACGTGGGTTGTATTCATAATAGGAGGTATGGCTCCTCTATTACTTGTGCTGCAACTCATTCTAATAGACTTCTTTCAAAGATGTTGCACTTGGACATAAAATTCTTGTGGATCATGGATTGAAAGTCATTTCATGAGGATTGTGTCATAAGACGAATTAGGGTTGCATTTGTACTTTCTTATTGTCAAATCAAAGATTGGTTTAGGACATTTACTTTGGATCTTATGCAAGGATTTGAGGTCTTACATAGACTATTTTGGGAATCTTGTATGAGAAGGAAGCCATTTGCGCTAGCCTTGACTCTTAGTCACAACCAACCATGGAAGATGGACTTTTGACCAAAGTATTTCTAGTCACTTTTGGTTTTTATCGTGGTTTATCTAAGTATAGAATGGTGTGGCATGAGGTACAAATGAGAGATGACCTGAAATTTTAAATGAAACAAGAATGGAGGGAAAACAATTCAAACTTTATTCAAGTCTTGTTTATTACAAATTCAAGGATATTTGACCAAAATCCTTACATGTTCAAATAACTCCTAAATTAAAGTTTCCATTACAAAAAAAAAACATTTCAAGCCAAATTCAACATCACTTTCAAATACATTACACCAAAATGTCTCAATATATGTTTAGTATCTACCAATGCATTACCAAGTCTCCAAGTTCAAAATATCGACCACCATTACAAAATTTCCATTATATCAAGATTACAATGGTTCAAAGGGAGATAAAGTCCAATTATACACAAAAGGGAATCGTAAAAAATACATGGTAGCCTATTGTTTATAATTCAAATAACATGACCCTTCTTTGAGTTAATATGCGAGATTCCATCTTTATTTTCTTTCAACCTTTTGCCTCAAGTCCACGGCAAAGAAAAATCAGTTCATGGCTTGTAACATCACAGATTAAAACCGACTCTACACCCCTGTTCCATAAAAACCTACACCAATTCAAAGCTCAGAAGAGTGAAATTCATATCAAATCAGAAATAGAAAACATAAAAAGCTTAATAGATATCCTAACTGCCTCAAAAGGAAACTTTGAGCAGATTGCTAACCTCTATCCACCTTTAAAAGAATTGCTAACTTCCTCTCCAAATAGTCAAACAAACTCTTAAATGATCACACCAATCTACGTTAATTAACCAAAACTGCCAACATCAAAAATCCAATTCAATTGACCAAATAAAATGGGCTGCAAGGGAAATATCAGAAACCGTGAAAATAGGAAACTCAAAAGAAGCAACACATCAACTAATTACAAAAATCAGAAGAGCAACCCTGCAAATTGTCAAAATAACCAAAACACAAAATCTCTTAACCAATTTCCCAACAGAACTTCTTCTAACCAATTTGTTACCGTCAACTGTAACTAACATTCCCTAACAGTTACAGCAGTCCAAAACAAATTCCTAACCAAAAATTCCAGCATAACAGAAATTCCAACTAACCTATCTATAAATAACTAATTCCCAATCCCACTTCCAACAGAAAAACCAACCGATTCAACTAACTTCCTAAACTTCTTCTAACTGCTTCCTAACAGAACTAGAAGAAAGAAGGTTCAGAATTCATAACAGAAAAAGGGTTCGGAAGAAAATAGAAGTGGGAGATAGGTATAACAAAATCCACCATAATTTAACAGAAAAAGAAAAAACCGTGGGAACAAAAAATCAGAAGAGAAACTCAAATCAAATCTACACCATTCATTTGGTGTAACAAAATCTGATATCCATGGCCTAGATTTTCCGATCCTAACAGAGTTTTCACAAGCTTTCAACAACCATATAACAAAATTCAGCTGAGAATAAAAATTAGAATTTGAGGATTATTATTCAATACACAAAGAAACTCACCCAAAAAATATTCAACTCTCTACATCATTCTCTCAGAGACTTCGATCATCTCAACCTTCATTCATCGTCATTATTTATAATCTCACAAGGATCCCCAAAATCTCCAACAACCTTTCTCTGCTTCATTCTTCTTTCACCTTCTGGTATCATCACCATCTTTATCTTCTTCACCTTCAGCCTCTGCATCTTCAATCACCATCAACCTTTATCAGAACATCACAATTCTTCATCACTCTCGGCAAGCTTTCCGCAACAACACCATCATCGTATCTCTCGCAGATTATCTTCAATAATCTTCATGCATACCTACAACAACAATGTTCGTCATCATTATCATTTCACAATCAATTTCAACAACAACAACTCACTAAATCAGAATCGATAAAGTAGAAGAAGTTTATCGAATCGAAAACGAGATGTACTTGAGTTTTGTTCATCTGATTTGTTTCTTCTAATCTTTGATATTCATAGAAGAAGAGACAAACAAGAAGAAGGCTCCTCCGTCTCCGACGCAGAGGAGCAATTTCCGGAGAAGATGAAACTGGAACGTGATGGAGATATTGTAGAAGCAAATTAATGAAGAAGGTTGAGGTGAATCCATTCTTCCATCTAGAGAATGTGAAATCACGATTTGAATCAGAAGAGACGAGGTACTGAACAAGCACATCCCTGAGTCTCGGCATTGTCGTTATTGCCATCTCCTCGAAGGTGCACGACAGTGCTCTTATGAAGTAGATTGAGGGATCGAGAGAGACCAGTGGAGATTGAGGGACGAGAAGCCAAGACGGAGGTGCGTCGATGATACTGTGATGGATGTTTTGAGAAGATAAGCGCCTTCGATTGAGGAAGACGAAGATTCTTTCTCCTTAACCCTATCAATACTCCAAACGACAACATATATGTTTCTTTCCTTCAACTTTACTTTCTAACTGTTTCTTTAATTATTTCCTTTTGTAAATCAATTGATAATAACATGGTTAATAAAGGTTTGTGAATTTGTTGTTAGGAATGCCATTTTGAATGGGCCATGGACTGAATCATGCTTGCATCAAGCCCGTAGATGTTTTTTTTGTATAAGCTGATTGCCTTGCTAGAACAAAAAACTACTGGTAGACCTTGCGGATTGGGTCTTGTATTAATATTTTAACCACTCCTTGATCTAGTTATACGCTCCCTCTGCTTAGAGTGTTCCCTATTCTTTTAGCAATTTTCATTTATATTAATTTTGTTAGATTGTTGTTGAAGAAGCATGAGTAAAAAAAGTAGGAAATGTTGGGGAATTTTAGAAATTAGTTAGATTTCTTTTACGATCAATTATTGTGATCATTTTTTATCTTATTTGAGATATCTTGATGCCATTTGTATGATAGAAGTGCTCGAACCATTATACGTGTTGGTATGATTGCAGGATGATCTTGAGTGAAGAGCTTCAAGAAGTTTTAGAGCTAACTAAGAGCATAATTTTTATCAAGAAAGTCCAAGGAGATTTTCTGTAGAGTTTTCTCTTCGCTTGCATGGTTTCGAAGAGGCAACCGACTTTCTCCGTTCGATAACATCGCAACTTTATTTTATGCCTCATTTCCGCAATTTATCACATTTCTTTTCGCTTTTCTAGATATCATGAGAAGTAGGTCTTTACCGCTTTCGGATGCCATGAGAAGTAGGGTAGAGATGTATGACAGGGGTCTCCGTTGCTGATCATGTCAGGAACCCCTCTAGTTTATTTTAGGACCCGTTTAGGGAAATTCTGCATTGTGTGCATTTTGTTTGCTACTTGTGTATGATTTGTTAAAAACCCTACCTTTTAGTAGGTATTCTGCAGGTGTGTTTATATTTATGCCCGCATTATTCCCCCATCCCTTAGTGAAGTCCTCAAAAGGAGGCGAGCAGGGAGGGTTAACAATCAACCCCCGCAACTTCGTTTGTGTCATCCTTAGCTCGTGACGTACCATGAAGCTTCAGAGTTGTGCCTGCTCTTGTATATAGAGTCGTCAAGTGGGGAATGGTTCTGCAATCGAACCCCCACGCTTTTTCAAGAGTTTGCATTGGCCGATGCTGATACTTCATGATCATTCAATTGTCTTCTATTGTATACCTCGATCTCCTATATCTTGGATAGGTGTTCAATCGCTTTGTATATCACTTTTTGTTTCTTCATGTCACTCCCGCTTGTTTGTCTCGGGTGATACGCTCCCATTGGCTAAAGCATTTTAATTCTTTTCCTTACTCTTTTATGTGTGTGCTCTTTCGAGCTTGCTTGCTTTATCCTTGTACATACCATGCTCCCTTAGGATGTGCTTGCTCCTATCGGACACAAGTTAGACCTTAGGTTACAAGCCATGCATGCTAACATTAGGTAGATGTTTCCCTTTTTTTAATCCAAACCTTAGGACTACCATTGTATGATAACATTAGGTTAGAAATAAGCTAGTCTCCCTTAGACTCTTTTCTTCCCTTTTTGCATCTTTGAATCTAAAGCTAAAACTTTCTTCTAAGCAAATGAAAAACATGCTAATCACACTTAAACCCTTTTTCAAGGTAACAAAATACAAACTAACTCAAACCTTTCTATGCGCTCGAGCACCTTTTCTCTAAAACCCTTTTCAGGTAAGGACATGATTAATTTACTTCTTTGCCAATGCATAAGTCTCCAAAGGTCGAGCTGCGGTAGAAGGCGGAATTAACATTGTCCATAAAAAATACAAAACAAACAAAAACATGTGAGCCGAACTACAATAGCTCTGATTCCTCAAAAAGGATACGTAGGCATTGGGGTAGAGCCCAAGCGAGTACAACTTTATTTTCCCTACATTCTTTTCTCCTTTATTTTGCATGCATTCTCCCTTAGTAATAAACAATAAGCATAGTTTAGACACACCCATAAGATAGATAGAAAGAGTGGATACCATAGAGTACTACTAGCGTGTGGGGTGCTAATACCTTCCCCTCACGTAACAGACTCCCTTACCTGATCTCTCAGTCGCAAGACCGTGACTTCTTCCTTCTCAAGTTTTCTCGATGTTTACCTTTCCCTTCATGTGGGATAAAAGACGTTTGATGGCGACTTCATGATTTTCAGCCGGTTATTTCAGCTGGCGACTTCACTGGGGAAAGGTCGACCAAATGCTGGTCCATTACGGAGTCGCTCCTAGCTCTTGTTTCCTTTCTTTGGGTGTTTATTTTATGCTTTCAGTTTATTCATTCATTTTGTATATACCCGAGCATATGTATGCATTGCATTTTACTGCTTTCCATATACTACTTCTATACTGGACCTGTTTCTTGTTGGGCGGGTGTTACAAGAGGTAAAAGGCCCAATACCCATGCCAAGTGACAACCACAGGAACACTAGGAATAAAGTGGAACACAAAGGATATGGGATGTAGATTACCCTAGACGGCTATGTCGTCCATGCTCATATGAGGTTTTAATGAGGTGTTATCATTATCACGTAGGTGTACGATGATAGTACTCTCAAGCGAACCCATGATTTTGAGTTACCTGACCTTACCCTGACCTAGTCTTCACCCGTGAATGGGGCGGGAATTTTTATCAAATGTACATATGGTGACTATATTCAGATGGTGACTATGTTCATATGGTTACTCATGTTCAAATGGTAATTATTTATTCTAATGGTTATGTTCTGGATTTCTATCAGTGACTATGAGGTGCTCAGATTTATTTTGAGTTCCGAATCCGATGTTCACGAGGTTCTTCCGGTTATATTCCAAACCTGTGACCCTGTTACTTACAGACTATGCAGAGACAGTACAGAAGAAATCAGTATCATGGAAGTAATAACCCCATGTTCACTTGCACTTACATCATAGCATGTTTATTTTTCAAAAAAAGAAATGTCAGAAAAATAAAACCATATACTAACCTTGCATGTGCATGTCCATTCCGGGGTATCTCACGAAGTTATAGTTTCCGTCAGTAACGTCTAGCAACAATGATGTTCTCAAGAGGACCATAAGAGATAATTGTACTTATCAGTTCCACTCAAGTTTTCCGCTCAAGTTCTTGGCCTTCTTTGAAGAGTTTAAAAGACCGTTTAGTCCTTCCTAATGCAGAGGCTTTTAGTGAAATACATGGTAGAACTTTGACTCAACTTCAGTTTTACAACTATGATTTACGCTATGTCACCTTCCAGGACCATCATATCACTCCAACTTCAAAAGAGTGCTCTCATTTGCTCAAGATTACCGAGCACATATTTGTCGCTGTCCTAAACGAACCTGACTTTGAAGTTATTGCTAAGGCACTTTATTTGGGCCTTAGTGATGTGAGATAGATATGGAGAAAGAATGGTAGCCTACCTTCAGACTTATTATTATATTGTTATCTCGATTACTGCAAGGCTTGTTGGACGAAATCACTTATCTTGTACTCTCGCAACTTTCTTGTATTAAACCCCGCGGGAATTTCTCCTATTTTCTGGATGTTTTCTTTATATGGTCGTTCTTATTATCATGTTGCTCGATTATTACTGACGTTTACTGAGCTATGAAAAACCAGAATGGACAATCATTTCATACATCATACATATCATGCATTTCATGAATTGCAGGTTTTCTGGCAGGAATTCTTATATGATGGTTTTGCTCTTATTGTCAAAATCTACAAGACGACTTCCTCACATCCTTATCACACTCGAGCCAACAAGTTGAGGATCATAGAGCAGATTAAGCAGATGCATGCCGCTCTTTACAAAGACATGGACACCATGGGTGATTGAATGAATCAGCTCATGGAAACTCTTCATGCCGTTATCCAAGGGCAGGAAGAGCTCAGACTGAGTGTTACTAAGCTGGTTGACAGTGCCTCTACGTTTGAGAATGGTGGACCCATGAATGATAATGGGGGAATTCCTAAAGAGAACCCACTGTTGATTATGGATAACCACCATGATGTCATCGATCTCGATGGTCCTCCAAAGGATTTTACAGCTGATTTGTCTAAAACTGCTAAAATGTACAAGGCTTTGGAAGAACGTCTGAAGGCTATGGAGACTTCCAAAAAGCCAGGATTCAGTGCCGCTGCTATGTGTCTGGTTCCTGGGGTTGTGATTCCACCAAAGTTTAAGGCACCGGAATTCAACAAGTATAAGGGGGTTACATGCCTAGAGACTCACCTCCGATCTTACTGCAGAAAGATGGCCGCTTATGCTAGCAACGAGCCGTTGCTCATGCATTTCTTTTAGGACAGTCTGGCAGAAGCTCTGTTAGAGTGGTACATGCAGTTGGAGCAAACTCATGTTAGTACTTGGGGGGAGCTTGTCGATACTTTCGTAAAAAATTATCATTAGAACACCGCCATGGCACCTAGCCGTGCATAGTTGCAGAGTATGTATTAGAAGACTAGTGAGTCTTTCAAAGAGTATGCCAAGAGGTGGTGCAGTTTGGCCGCGAGGGTTCAACCTCCTCTCCTGAATAGTGAACTGGTAGATTTGTTTATGAGTACTCTCCAAGGTCCGTATTTGCAACATATGCTTAGCAGTACTTCTGATTCATTTTCGGATATGGTTATCATTGGGGAGCGGGTTGAGATGTGTCTCAAAGTAGGGACTATTATAGGTGCATCTGGCACAAATGGTAACAACAACTCAAGTGGTGGAAAGAAACCATATTCTAGCAGTTTTGTCAAGAAAAAGGAATGAGAGGTGAGCAATGCTTCTGTTGATAAAGGGAAAGAT